GACAATCTCTTTGATATCCCATGTGAGTAAAGTTTTGCTAAAGGTAATACAGAAATGACTGCAAGCATACATTGACAGAGAATTTCCAGAGGTTCAAGCAGGATTCAGAAGAGGCCGTGGAATGAGGGATATCATTCCTGATGTCTGATGGATCTTGGCTGAAAGCAGAGAATATCAGAAATATGTTTACCTGTGCTTTGCTGACTATGCAAAGGGTTTTGATTGTGTGGATTATGACAAGCTATGGACAATATTGCAAAGTATAAGTATTCTGGAGCACTTAATTGTGCTCATGAGGAATCTGTACCTGGACCAAGAGGCAGTTGTTTGAACGCAACATGGGAACACTGAATTGTTTAAAATTAGGAAAGGTGTGCAACAATGTTGGGGGCCAGCCCCGACAATCTTATTTGAGGGTCCTAGAGGGAGGTATGACGTCGGCGAAGAAAGCATAAGATCAATGAGTCTCAAAGAATGGCGAGTCTTCTCCTCTCACATTTTATTTTTCTTCTTTTTTTCTCCTTTTACATTTTATTTCTCCTCTTACATCTATTTCAGATTCTCAAACAGCTTTTCTACTACTCTATACAATCAAGCTATTAATCATTCTTTTCAAAGTAGTGGTCTAAATCATACATATTAATCATTTCAATATAGAGCATCAGGAGCATCAAAATCTTCCTTGTTCCCTTTTACGTAGTTAGACAATATCTGATTTCTGTAAGCAAACCTCATTGTTCTTAAAATGTCACGTTAACCTTAAAACATAATTCTAAATCTTAACTCCTATTTCTACCTTCACCTATTATTTTCTATAGATTCATTAATCACAACATGTACCTAAATATAATTTGCTATGGTAACTGACAACACAGTTGTTTCTCATGATTGATTAAACAAGAAAAGCTAGAAGCATAAAAAAGCATTTAAAGTTTTGTAGTTAAAAAGAAACGGAACAACTTCCTTATACTAAAAACTTCTCTATACAAAATATCTAGTTAAATTGCTGCTTATGCTCTATTACTATTCCCTTAGCCCTCAACTGCATTTTTAGCTAATTTTCTAGAGGTCTTGATGTCCCTGACCGAAACTACACGGAATGTTGAATGTAATCTTAAACTTGAACTGGCAAAAGCTTTAGCTGGTTTTTCCTAGTGGTGAAACTTATTGTTAGTGTGAAAAGCATTCTTTAGGACTATGCATGATTGAATATGGTGTGAAGGTGCCTAAAAACAAGTTTCAAATCTCTAATATAATTCTTACTA